CAATGTTCTTCCGACGTCTGATTTCTTTTTAAAAAATGCGTTTCTAAAGTGCATAAACTTTTGAGATTGACTATATAGCCAATACATCCTTAAAATAGATAGATTGGTAGATAATAGGTTTTTATTGATTAAAAATTACATATACAGCCATGCTACAATTCTAAATGGCGCGAGATACATAAATATAACGTTGATACATACATATATGCTATGTACTTATGCTTTTATTCCTAATTTGGAACATGCTGTCCTCTACAGACAAATGCACAAAGCTCGGGAGCCGCACTTTTAAGTTCGTACTATGCCGGTCAAATCAACGAACGTAAATTAATACAATTGCAAATACTGTTTTGGATTTCTAATACGATGAAATATGTAATTTAAGTAAACTGTACAATAAGCCCATCATGGCAGCTGTGCCACGTACACAGTACAACAGATAAATAAATAAAAGAAAGTGTATTTAAAAATGGGATAAATGCGCATGTGCATCTAATCATTCGACATTCTAAAATATTTTCATTTGAACTAAGGCGATCTACCTTTCTCTAAGACAAGTAATAAATAAATGAATGATAATATGTAGTCACGTTTGAACCCTTAGAAAAAAAGTTTCTCCTCGACAATCGACGAAATATCCTATACCAACTTAGCTTTCAATCAATTACGATCGAAGGATTCGTCACATAATGTTATATATATATATATATATATATATATGTATAATTGTTCTCGCAAAAATTCTTGAGTATACTATCTGTCACTGTATATATAATAGCAAATCTGCGCCAAAACGAAAACAGTCGCGACTCGCAACTAGCCCGCACCCCGCACCTCGTGTTCGTACGATAGGTAGCGGTAATAAGCCAGTTAGTTACACAGGCCTGCGCAGGACGCAAAAGTATAGAAAGCTCGTGCAATCCTAGCCATCGAAAAGTCCAAAGAAAAAAATATTTATTTAACGTATATTCCATCCGTATTCGCGAGATTTGAAAGTTTTTTGGGATAGAACAAAATATATCTCACACTTTCAGTATCAACATTGACAATGTCGGAACGTAACAAACGTCCTTTGGATGAAACAGAGTCAATAAATAATGATAATCACAATGAAGATGAAATAGAAAGTGATTCAAGTATGTTTAAGAATTATACAGAAGAGCCTATGTTGGAAGACGAAGAAATGCCAACGTACATCAGTATGTCGAGTTCATCGAAACATGATAATTCAAATCTTAGCCACAACTTGAAACAGCAGAACTCATTATTGCCAGAAGACAAACATAGTATAAATTGCATTCTTAATGAACAAGAGGGAAAAGATTGTGTAATATTATCTGAAGAGGAAAGTAGCCACCTTTATAATGATGATGAAAATGAATGTACAGACAGTGAAGGTAAATAAATTGTTGTATTAATAGAACATTCATTAAATGTATTAATTGCCTGTTATATCCATCTTACACAGATATGAATGAAATGGATCTCAGAAATGATAATGCATATTATCTCAATGAAGGTATTGATACAAAATATCAGCATGATTATTCAGATAGAGCATCTGATGATTGTATCTTAAACAATAGATTAAAGCAGCATTATAAAGAGCGAAGTTCATCATTACAAGATTTAAACAACTGTGAACACGATGTTCACACACCGTATAATAAAAGAGGGCAAAGTTTAAATATTTTTAATCACAAATATTTAAATTTGCAATCAAACCAAGTAGCATCTGCTGCTTTACATAAAACGAGGATAATACCACGCAAATACCAACATGTACAAAGTAAAGTAAAACAGTATATCAGAGATATCAAGGAACAAAATAGAAAATCCAAGGAAAAGCATATGAAAGGTCAAGAATTCATAATAAATAAAGACCATAAGAAAAATGAAGGTAATTTACTATTACAGTACAGTAGTCTCATTTTAAAGGCTTTTCTTTTATACAGCTAAGTTTTAAGATAGAAAATATAAGTTCTAATTTTCATTTCTTATTTATAGATAATAGCATTGAGCAAGTGGAAGTAACAGGTAAAACAATAAAGGACTATGCAAAGAAAGTCATTAAGGATTTACAGAGAGAAGAAGCTGAAAATGTTGATATAATTTATGACACAATGCAGATTACTGATAATAATAAAATATCTGACCGAATAATTAGAAACGAATGTTGGAATACAGAAAATGTTGAATACAGTCAAACTCAAAATAAAAAATGCAATGAGAAGTTAGATGTTGATGTGCACATGGAGAATAATAATACAGAAATGGTTAAAGTAGACGAAATTGATAATAGCAACGCAAGTTGCTCTTTAAAAATTACAGATGTTAAGAGTATTCGTTTAGACCCAGACGAATTACAAAATTTTTATTTCGCAAACACTAATACAGACGATCGACTGAATGCTGAGATTACCGAATTGAAATCACAATTTAGACAATTTCATCAAACAGCAGTAGCGGAAAACATGAGACTAAAACAGGAATTAGATGCAGTAAAAAAGTCTTTAGCAAGATATGAAAACGAAAATAGCGCGTCCGGAACGAGAACTAAAGTGCAGGATGAAATGATAGCAATATCTACTAAAAATGAAAATACTGTGGATTCAAGAGAAATGAACACCAAAAATGTGGATTCGAGAGAAGTGAACAACAAAGCATCTGCAAGCAGTATCGGATCTGTAGTTAGTTCGATCGATCATTGGGCAGAGAGTGCGTGCAGTCCAGGAATATCTATTAAATCACCTAATTTAAATTCAATTCTCAGTTTAGATGATAGCATAGTATTAACCAATTATGTCACTCCAAAAAAAATAATCAATCCATTATCACGGACGTTTGTCACTTCGACTCGAATCTTGCAAACACTTTCAAATATAACGCAGGGTAAAACAAGAGTTGAAAGCCCTTTAGCTAGAAGTACTAAGCAACAATTAAATGAAAATTTAATACAAAATCAATCTCAAGATCAGTCGTTTCATGTCAATTGTAATTCATCAATTATTACAAGTTCTAAGAAAAGAAAGGCAACGGAATTTTTCCCCACTTTCGTCCAGCCCGTTAAAATACCTCATACAAGTACAAGATTAGAAATAAAAAATGGTATTAATCCAACTGATGAAGAATGTATAGTTCCTGACGAACATGTAAATCCGCAATCGAAACAAGAAGACAATAAAAACCTGAATGTCTCTGCATGCATTGAAACTGAGATTAAATATCTAAATGATGATGGAGATAATGTAAAACGTTTCATTTGCAAGGACGACAGTAATATTAGAAATGGAAGCTTCTCAATGCAAGCAGTAGAACCAATAAAAGATTTAAAAAGTGAAGAAAATCGAATCCAAGAATGCGGTCCATACTTGTTGGGTAATCTTGAAGTACGAATGTCTGAAGTAAATGGTACAATTAATGTTTGGAGTAAAGAAATAAACTATGAATCTGAAAACGAAAATGACGACGATATAAAAATATTGGAAAAATCGTCACAAAAAAAAACTTGTCGCTGGCCGGACAGATCCCAAACTGGATTTAATAGAAGTCCACTTCAATGTTCAACCAACAAAAAACAAAAATTTCCATCGCAATATAACAAACCTAACGGTTCTGAATATTGTAACTTATCACTAAATTTAGTAAAAGCATCATCTTTAGAAAATATCACTAACAAAAAACATGATGATTCTGGCAGACAAATAAGTTTAAGTGAAAAGTGCAGGTCACCACAGTGTCAAGAGAAGATATATTCCTGTTGTACACATAGCACCGAAACAAAAGACAAGAAACGAAAAGATAGTGTAGGAACACAAGAAAATGTGTATAAAAATAGGCACGTGTCAAATTCCAAATCATTGACAGATAGCATAGATAATCATGCGACTTCCAACACATTTGGTCAGAATCTACCACATTATAATACAGAAGTTCCTCTGATTCCATCTAAACGATTTAATGAAACGACCAAAGTAAGATCACGAAAGCATGATTACTTTATCAATTCTTTATACGTATATAATGTTCTTTATTTATTTAGATGAGACAACGAAGATTGAGTGGTAAAAAAGTAAGAGGGATCCTAGTGGATCTTTTCAAAGGATGTGGGAGTTGCCATGAGAACAATGCTACTAATTTAAATAGTAGAAATATGCATTATCAAAAAGGATCATGTCGTACAGTAAATGATATTCCGCAGATTAGGATTTCTTCTCCATCCAAACTCATATGTGACACTTCTACGCAAGACAATAACAGGTAATGTTGCGTGGTCATAAGAATGCACTTTAATGCAAATTAATGGTTACTCTGTATTCATAGGTGTTGTGATGCACGTACATGGAGGCTTGAAGCTCAGTTAGAAGAAATACGAGCAGAGATGGAAAGAATGCAATCGCGGTTAATTGCAATTGTAGATATGCTGCATAAGCTTAATTCTATAGATAACTAAGGCGTTTCTATCTATTAAGGTCTTTTTCATTTTATTATTCTGTTTCCTTTTTCCTTTTTATTTTCTTCATTCACAAGATCTGGATTATATTATTTCTTCAAAAAGTAGGTCATCAAATTATTAAAATAAAGTAAATGACCAAAGAAAAGTATTCTACTGTATCAGATACATTATTATTTAAGCAATACCCCATACGATGTATGCATATGTAATTCCGGATGGATTTTGTATTAAATATCATGTACTGATATGAAGAAATTGTATTATATTATAATAACATTTGATGTATTATATTATAAAACATCTAGAGACTGATGTAAAATCGACAATAATATGAATAATAATATAAGAATAATTTATGATTATTATACATCAAATTATTTTAAATCTCCAATAAATAAATTAATAATCAATTTAAGAATAGATTAATATAATATTATTTTACTTCATTAAATATTGTTGAAATAGAAAAATAATTAAAGTCGCATGCAAAAATATTTAAAATCCAGTGGCTCTACAAACACCTTCAATATAACGAATGTACGATCCTGTCATGCACACGTGCTATGAAAGTTTTGTTTCCTTCCCATGCCGGAAGTAAGTCACACGGATTTTACTCGGGTATGAAGCATTTTTAATTACTTGCCGGAAGATGAAATATTTGTGAAATGATACATGAAATGTTTAGAGTATTTGTATAATTAATAACTTACACAGTGTTATCTTGTATGAAAAGCTCTGGTCGTTCTCTCAAGAGGTTATCTCGTATCCAGAAAAGTAACTTGTGTATAGTCCCTGTAGAATTTCACGTAGCGATTATAATTTAATATCGTAGAAAGTTTGCGAAACTTACATTCGTTCCCAGATAAGTTCACTTCGTGTCTTTTCTTCTTGTCAAAGAGTAACTCTGCTCCACCTCTGAAATTATTTATAATTTTTTACATTCGTGTGCATTAGGAAAACTTAGCTGAGGCGCAACTGTGTCATGTTACCCAAATTCGATTATGACAGGAATTCCACTATTTTTAGTAGACATTATATTATTTTGCCTTTTTATTAATAATTCTATTTATCTATTTACAAACGAGGAACACTATCTTCGCTAGTCAGTGCGCATAGAAACAATCTGAGTTCCATTCAAATCTGTTCGAATGAATTGTTCCCTTCCATGTCCGCACTCCGCACGTTTCTTGTGTACAAACGTTCAGTACCTTACCTTCACTACCGTGTGAAGGTACCCAAAACGATTGTCGAGCTACTTGTGATACAACACATGCTGAATGCGGCAGTTGTAATGGCGGTTATTAGATAAATTGTTATCCCAGACGTCAAATATTTAAAGAAAGTAATGCACTTTCGTTACATTTTCGCATAATTTTAAGGTGTTCTTGACCGTAAAATACAATACACTTTATGCCTTCAATATTAACGTCCACAATGTCAGAACAAGATGAGCACACTTTGAAGGAAGCAGGTTCGCAGCAAATAAAATTGGAAAAACTCAATAAAGAGCAAACGAAAGGTGAGTCAAGTATATTAAACAATGAAGCTGAAGTTAAAGTTTCACTGTCTAATATTATGTAATTTAATAGAAGAGAGATTTCATTTGTTAACATACTTATCTCTGTTGAAAGATGCGGAAATATCAATGAATGTTGATTCAATTAATTCATCAAGAAATGGTAAATCAACTGTTCATTCCAATGTAAAACCAGATTTACTGCCTCCAGGAAATGAGTACAATCAAAGTTCTTGCTCTAGTGATGATGGAACAGAAAGCGTCTATTGCATAGTATCTTCGGAAGATGAAACTACTCATTCTTATAATGACGAGGATGACGACAGATACATCGATAATGAAGGCAAGTAAATCATGTACGAAATCACTAAACCATTGTAAGATATTAAATAAAAAAATTAATTAATTGTATTATAATTCACATAGATATGGATGAAGCAGATAGACACAGAAATGCAGTGTTAAAGGATGAAGGAAATGACGATTATGAAGAACATCGTTTAAGAGCACGTGTTCATGACAGTGACGATACTGATAGTGAATATGAGAGAGACTGCTTTGATAGGGCATCTGACGATTTTATCTTAAGTAAGAGTTTAAAGCAGCACCACAAAGAACAAAGTTTATCATTACAAGATTTGAGCAATCCTAAACACAATATCCGTACACAATATAATAAACGAAAGCAAGGCCTTATCTTCAAACGAAAATATTCAAATTTGCAACCAAATTTAGTAGCATATTCTAATATTCATAGAACGATACCGCTTAAATATCGGCGTATAGAAAATAAAGAAAGAAGCATGATTAAAGAACAAGGTAACCAATTTAGAGGTAAAAATATGAAGAATCAAGAATCAACAATGAATAAAAACTATGAGAAGGAAGAAGGTAAAGAATGTTTTTTATTTTATTATTTATAGTACTGTCTATTAATGAAAAAGAATGCTTTTTTATATAATTAAATAACCAAATATTAAGATAATGAGTGAAGGCTGTAATCTTCACTTCTTGTTTATAGATAACGACGTTGATCAGTTAGATGCACCAAGTGAAACGATAAAAGTTAATATAGATTTAGCTGTTAATGAACCACAGACAGAAGAAACACAGACTGCTAATTTAATTTATAATACAGTGGAGATTGTCGAAAATTATGAAAACAATCGATTACCTGATAGGATAATTGAAAATGGATACGTGAATACTGAAGATATTCAATATAATCACATACAGAATGAAAAATATGTGGAAAATTCTGATGACAAATTGGAACACGTAAATGAACCTATAGATGTTAGTATGCAGATGGAATGTAATGATGCAGAAGTGGTAGAAGCACATGAAATTGCTAACACTGACACAAGTTGTAACTTAAAAATTACAAATGTTAAAAGCATCCGTCTAACTCGAGACGAATCAGAGAATTTCAGTTTTCCAAAGAATAACGCGGTTGATAGATTGAACGCTGAGCTCACCGAATTGAAAACTCAACTTAGACAATTTCATCAAAAAAGATTAACGGAAAACATAAAAATGCAACAGGAAATAGATGGTTTAAAAAAATCTTTGTCAAAATATGAAGATGAATCTCAAACGTGTGAAACAAAGGATACCATAGCAAATGGTATGATTATCGAAACTACTTCGAAACAAGACATTGTAGCGTCAGAACAGCTAAACAATCAAAATGAGAATATAATAGAGACCGATGAAATAATGAAAATGTCCACAAGCCGTATGGAGCCTGGTATAAGTTACACTAACGAGGCAGAGGCTGTTCACAATTCAGCTAAATCTACTGAATCGACTAATTCAACTTCATTTCTTAACACTGAAGATAATATTGCTACTAGTACAACTTCCAAAAAATTGACAACGCTATCACCAACCTTCGTCACTTCAACACGAATTTTGCAAACACTTTCAAATATAATGCAAGGTCAAGTTGAAGGTTGTCTACCCAACAATACTAACAAATGTTTAAATGAAAATTCCATACAAAGTCAAAATCAGAAATCTGATTCCCCAATCATTACGAGTTCTAAGAAAAGAAAAGCGGAAGTGCTTGGTATTCCTAGTTATGCTCCGCACTTTAAAATACCTAATACAAATACAGAATTCGAAAACAAAAATATTATTAATACGACTGATGTGAAACTTGAATATTCTGTAGAAGATACAAATACAAAACCAAAACAAGAAGATGATAAAATGCTTATTGATAGAACTACGGATGATTCTATATGTATGGAAACTAAGGTGGAATACGTGAATAATCCCGAAGATAGTGTAAAGTATTTTGTATGCAAAAATACCAATAGTATTGGAAATGGCAGTTTCTTGATTCAAGCAGAAGAACCAGTAAAAGATCTGGAAAATGAAAAAAATCGTATTCAAGAATGTGGTCCGTTTTTATTGGGTAATCTTGAAGTAAGAATGTCTGAAGTAAATGGTAAAGTCAATATTTGGGGTAAGAAAATTAACCAAGAATCTGATAGCGATAACGAGGTCGATTTAGAACTATCTGAAAAATTATCACAGAGAAAAGCATGTTGGTGTGATACGTCCCAAACTAAATTTAATAAAAGTCCACTTGTGTGTTCAACGAACAAGAAGAAAAAAATTCCATCAAGATTCAACAAATCTAACATTTCTCAGTGTTGTAACTTACACTTAAATTCAATAAATGCATCATTATTGGAAAGTATAGATGATAAAAGGTACGCGCATTCTTCCAAACGAATGTCTTGTGAGAGTTGCAGTTCATCAAAATGTGACAACAGTTCGCCAAGATGCAACCATACTTCAAGCTTACCAGAAAGAATACATTCCTGTTGCAATCATCATACCCAAACTACAAATAAAGTTTGTAATTGTAAGTCTTATCGAAAGAAACGATCACTCGACGTTAGTTGTAAATGTTGCAAAGATAAGTTTCATAGCGTAGGAATACAACAAGATTTATGCAAAGGTGCACATATGTCAAACTCAAAATCACCTTCAGGCTGCATAAATCATCAAATGGCATGCAATACATCCAGTCAAAAATGTTACGAAGTTCCTCTGAAACGATCTACTGAAACTGCCGAAGTAAGATCACTAAAGAACAAGTACTTTTTTAATGATTTACCGTATATGTAAGTAATGTATCTCTTTAAATGCAGATGAAGAAACAAAAATTGACTGGTGAAAGGGTACGAAGAATCCTTACGGATTTCTTAACAGCACATGAAGGTGGCCGTGATATCAGCGCTACTGGTTCAAACGAAAATAGGTTCCAACAAAAAGAATCGTCTCGTAGACTGAATGATCCTCAACAAATAAAAAGTTCCACTTCTACACAAGACAATGATAGGTAATTCTACTATTAATTGCACTTTACTTATAAAACGGAAGTAGATAGAAATATACAGCTGCCTCTTAATTATAGATACTGTCGTACGTGTGAATCTCAGATGGCGGCTCAACTTGGAAAATTAGAAATGAGTATGGGAAGAGTACAATCCCGATTAGATGCACTTGTAGATATGCTCAATAAGCCTCGACCTACGGATGTAAACTAACAGAATTTCTACAATGTCTTTTGGCCGTGTACAGATCATTCTTTTCATTACTTTATAACTCGTTACATAAGTAATTTCGTTACGTATGGTTTATTCAACAAAATAATTGTACCGCATTTAAGTTACAAGATTAATCGTAGAAATACTAGATACTTTATTTCACTTCATATAAGGTATACGTGACCAATTTTATTAAAGTAAATTGGACTAATACATAAAAGATAGTGTACTAAGCACGTCATTTGTCACTATAACGATTCAATTTGTACGAAAGTGATCATCGTATTTACATATGACTTATTTTACACGAGCGTACAAAAAATTTACGTTTTATAAATTAAATTTATCTGTAGATAAATTACAATATGACTAGAAATTTTGTTTGCAACGATAGACCTTAAAGGATAATTTAAGTGCTTTACCAGT